CGGACAGCCCGACTCTCTTGGTACTCCCACTTTGTCCGCCAACCTAGCTAAACAGACGAACATGTCCCGCGGCCAGGAAAGATGCACCCACTGTGGCATCCCGGGACATACATGGGAAGTGTGTGATTTTGACTTCATGGCTTCACTCCCAACCACAAGTAGCATTGTGGATAGCCATCTACCTCTTCTCGACCCGCGGACAACAAGTCCAACCATACTTCCGATGCAGGACCTCCTCCGTTCACAAGTGGTTAATATAAGCAACTGATGTGCTTGCTACAAGAGGTAAACATCCCAAAAGCCAACCTCTCAAGTAATGTTCTCGGCTTATTTTCGAGTTCACTTAATTCTGATACTTGGGTTATTGACACTGGCGCCACCAACCACATCACATTTGAACCCCGTCACCTTACAAACCCGACTCACTATCCCTCTCCACATCCCACCATTAGGATTCCAAATGGTGTTGGTGTCCCTGTGACATCACACGGTTCGACCTCTCTTTCCCCAACTATCTCCCTTAACAATGTCTTTTGTGCTCCCTCTTTCAAATACAACTTATTATCAATCTCCAAGCTCACTCAAACTTTAAACTGCTCAGTCAACCTTTTTTCCTAACCACTGTTTTTTTTCAGGACCTCTTGACGAAGAAGATCATTGGTCAGGGCCATGAGCGTGGTGGTCTCTATTACCTGGAGATTCCTACGGAACCTACCGTCCTCTCTACTTCAACTTATTCACTTCATCTTTGGCACACCCGCTTAGGACATCCATCTGAGTCAATTTTATCCACTTTGCAACAAACTTTATGTTTTAGTCTAGCAAAACAATTGAGTCCATGTGATGCTTGTCATTTATCCAAGCAAATGCGTCTGTCTTTTGCGTCTAGCACTATTACTACTTTACGTCCCTTTGAGTTTATTCATGTTGACATTTGGGGATCTTAGGCTGCGCATGGCAACCATTCTGTGCCCGGGAACAGATTCTGGTAAGAAATTATTCTTTTTTATTCTGTGCGCGGGAACAATTTATAAGCATTTAAAGGTGTTTGGTAACTGTCCAAAATTTTTATTCTTAGAATAGAAAAAGAACATAAATGCGTTTGGTAACTACACAAAATTTCTTTTTATTAATAATATTTTGAATTTTTTAATATTTCTTTCTTTCTTTTTCCTTTTTTTTTCTTTTTTTTCCTTGGCTATGGCCGGCGAGGGCCGCCCTCGCCGGTCGTGACGGCGAGGCCGACCTCGTCATCGCCACCCCCGGCGATGGTGAGGTCGAGCCTCGCCCGGCCAAGGCGAGGCTGACCTTGCCGTCGCCACCCCCAGCGATGGTGAGGTCGGCCTCGCCAGATCACGGCGAGGTCGGCCTCACCAGATCAGGCGAGGCCGACCTCGCCATCGCCACCCCCCGTGACGGCGAGGCTAGCCTCGCCATGGCCGGGCAAGGCTCGACCTCGCCATCCCCCGTGACGGCGAGGTCGGCCTTGCCTTGGCCGGGCGAGGCTCGACCTCGCCCAGATCTGGCGAGGCCGACCTTGCCGTCGCGGGGGGTGGTAATGGCGAGGTTGGCCTCGCCGGGGATGGGCAAGGCCGTCCTCACCGTCGCCGGGGGAGGGGGCGACGAGGGCCGACCTCGCCATCACTAGGGGCGGCAAGGGCCACCCTCGCTGACGGCAGGCCGGCGGTGGGCCGGGAAGAAGATGAAGAACAAATAAAAAAGAAAGAAGAAAATCAAGAAGAATCAGTTCCGGAAAAATTATTCCAGAATCAAGAAGCTACTTTTTTTTTGCTTCTTAATTCTGTTCCAAAATTGATTCTGGGATCAATTTTTTGCAAAATTGTGCCCGGGCACAAAATTTTTAACAAACAGATTTCTGTTCCTAAACTGATTCTTGAAACAAAAGAATAGAAATTTTTATTATTTGGCACGTTGCCAAACGGACCCTTATTCTCATTTTACACATCAGACATGTCATTATTTTTTATCTGTTATTGATGACTATTCGCACTATACTTAGATTTTTTTGCTTACTTTTAAATCTGATGCAATTGATTCTCTGATTTGCTTCTTTGCTTTTGTTGAGACTCAATTTCAAACCAAAGTCCAAAATGTTCAATCTGATAGCGGGACCGAATTCCTTTCATCTCGATTATAAGAGTTTTTTTATGCCCACGATGTTCACCACCGACGCAATTGCCTTCACACTCCTCAACAAAATGGAGTTGTTGAGCGCAAGTATCGTCACCTGCTTAATGTTGCTCGTGTGTTGCGTTTTCATTCTGGCATGCCTCTTCAATTTTGGGGTGATTGTGTCTTAACTGCTACTCATCTCATTAATTGAATACTTAGTCCTCTCCTACACAATAAAACCCCGTATAACCTTCTCTATGGCAAAACACCTTCCTATTCTCATCTTTGTGTCTTTGGCTCATTATGTTACGCTTCTACCGACCATCTTCACTCCGATAAATTTTGCCCCCGATCTCGCTGATGTGTTCTAATCGGTTTTCCCACAAACCACAAAGGTTACCGTCTTTATGATCTCCAAGACCAAACAACTTTTACCAGTCGCGACGTCGTTTTCTATGAACAAGATTTTCCTTTTCGTCAATAATTCCAATAATTCCATTACCCATACCCGACCTTGGTGAAACCTCCCCTCCTCCCTCCGCCCCTATACTTGCATCGACCTCACCTCCTTGGCCCCATGCACCCACGGCAGCACCATTACCCACTGAACCCGAAGCCATGCCTCGACCATCTCGGCCACGCCATCCATCCGGATATCTTCGAGACTACTACTGCGTTATCGTGGCCTCCAATCAATCCTCTTCGGACTCTAAGGTAACTGAATCAAGTACTCTTTACCCCTTATCCAACTGTTTATCATACTCGAGCTTTTCACCTACTCACCACGTTTTTTTAGCCTGCATATCCTTAAAGCAAGAACCTCAAACTTATGACGCTGCGTGTCAATCTCCCAAGTGGCTAGAGGCAATGTCTTTTGAGATACAAGCCCTTGAACAGAATGACACGTGGGAAATTGTTCCTCTTCCTCTTGACAAACAACCCATTGGATGTAAATGGGTTTATCGAATCAAATATAATTCTGATGGCACCATTGAGTGCTACAAAGTTCATCTCATTGCAAAAGATTACACTCAAACAAAGGGGATTGATTACCATGACACATTTGTGCCTATTGCTAAAATGGTAACCATTCGCACTTTATTAGCTCTTGCTTCAATTCGTCATTGGCCTCTCTACCAATTAGATGTGAATAACGCTTTTCTGCATGGTGATCTTGATGAAGAGGTCTACATGAGGTTTCCACCGAGTTTTCATACTAAGGGGGAGAATTTAGTCTATCGGCTAAAGAAATCACTCTATGGCCCTAAACAAGCATCGAGGCAATGGTTTGCCAAATTCTCTTATGCATTGCTTGATGTTGGTTTTCAACGGTCCAAGGCGGACTGTTCACTTTTTACATTGGTCTGTGGCTCTCTCTTGACCATTATCTTTGTTTATGTTGATGATTTGGTTATCACAGGTGATGATGAAGTTATGATTCAACTTCTCAAGCGATTCCTTGACACACAGTTTCGCATTAAGGACTTGGGTACTCTCAAATACTTCTTGGGCATTGAAGTTTTTTATTCCAAGTTTAGGATTTTCTTGTCACAAAGGAAATACACTCTTGATATTCTGTCTGACGTTGGTCTTCTTGGAGGACGTCCTGTTGATACTCCGATGGAACCCAATATACAATTTTCGGATTCCTCCCCAACTCTCAAGGATCCAGGTTCATATCGACTACTTATTAATAGATTATTATATCTTATAGGAACTCGTCCAGATTTACTCTTTGCAGTGTAGCATCTTAGTCAATTTATGCACTCTCCTAATGAAGACCATTGGAATGCCGCACTTTGCATTGTGCAGTATCTCAAGCATGATCTCAGCACTGGTTTGTTTTTCCCATCCAATTCTACTCTCCAACTTAATGGTTATACAGATTCTGATTGGGCATCTTGTTCTACATCTCGACGATCTGTTTCTGGCTATTGCATGTTTCTTGGTTCTTGTCCCATCTCATGGCGTTCCAAGAAACAAACCATCGTTGCCCGTTCGTCAACAGAAGCTGAATACCATGCTATGGCGTCTGCCGCTTGCGAAATCACATGGCTTTGCACGCTTCTCTCATATCTCCATGTCAACACTACTACTGCTGATCTTTTCTATGATAATAAAGCAGCCATCCATGTTGCCACTAATCCCATCTTCCACGAACGCACCAAACACATCGACATTGACTGTCACTTGGTTTGTGAAAAAATTCAAGATGGCACTTTGCGCACTCTTCATATTCCTGGTCATTCCCAACTCGCGGACTTGTTCACAAAACCGGTCACAGGTGATTTATTTTGTACTTTTAAGAACAAGTTGTTGACATGTTTACATTCACCAACTTGAGAGGGAGTATTGGTAGATTAGGTTTATACTAAAGGGCATAATTGTCGTTGTATTGTTTTTAGCCCTAAACCCTATGTATATATATATTGTAAATTGTTTCATCAATGAAAAAAAAACATTTGCCCAAACTCTACAAATTGGCATATTTACAATAAGTTTAGGAGTAATTGAACAATTTTCCCACAAAACATCTATTATCAATATACATATGTTTTGATTATCCATTAAAAATTTTGATTTATTCTATGAAATTAGATAAAAGTAAAAAGTTTCTTTTTGATTAATTTGTTAATTTAAAAGTTATAGTTTAACTTAGCCATTAAGATGATTTATTTTATTTTTTTCCCTACATTTTAAGCGGATCGAGTTATTTAGATGGTTCAATCTAAGTGTACCAATAAGTTACACTTAGAATTGCAGCATATTGGATTTTATATATATGGGAAATATAGGTTTTGTCTCTTTTTAGTTTTTGGTGCCTATATCAACACCACCCGGAATTGCTATATATAGAGTCATGGCGGTGAATTCAGATTCCACTGACAGTGGACGGTGTAATAACTCAAAAAGATATTGACAAATAGCTCGAGAATTTGCCTTTATGGACAAGAGTTACATCCAATATATTGGCATGGGATATCTATATTATGGTATCTAAACCTAGTGATGCTCCAACACATTGGCATGTTAATTTTCACAGTTGCAATACCTACTGCACTCGACTAGACAAAACAAGAAAGAAGAAATGGACCCAAACTCCCCAAAAGGAAAAAAAAAAGTTCGAGACGCAAAATCATGACGACAAGAGATGATTTTGTCTCGGTCTCTAAACTTAGTAATAGGTCTCTTGTCTCTCTCACAAAAGTATCCAAGCTCGGCCACCCTTCATGTTGAACTTCTTTAATCTTCCGAAAATCATGACGACGATGAGGATGATTTTGCCTTGATCGCTCCATTTCCCGGAGAATCCATACCACTTGTCATCACAGCCTTCAATGGGCCTTAGTTGTCGTTCGCAGCTGTAACCCATTGAGAACCCCACGTTCCCATATGCGCTGCAATTTCAAAAGCCGTGACTTCATTACACGGGTTTGTTCATGTTATGTGTGCGTGTCCATCACTTTTACGACTCAAATGCATTTACTTATAAAAGAAGTTGAGACTACACTGACATGTCGGTACGATTTAAGTGCACACATGTTAGGGCGCGTGCCCATCAACCAAATCAAAAGAAAACAAGTTTTATTTGTAGTTTCATTCACCGCCCTATGCTACATAGGTACCCAATAATTTAGATCTCAAAAATGTTGAAAAATTGGTCATCACCCGTAAAAATCAAGTAAGTAATTTCTTGTTTTTGTAGGCCTGACTGATCATGATCAAAGAACCACCAAATTTCAACATTATTTCTCGTTCTTGTGGAAACGTGTTCTCCAAATGTTTGACTCAAGCAAATAATTGAGCACATATGGGAGACTGTGCGATGTCTTGGAGGCGATGGACATGGAACATGTGATTTTTTTTTTAATCGTTTATTTATTATCCGGTTTCATATGATTAGATGCCCGAAAAGTCCTTAATTTTATGGAATCTTGCATCGATAGAACTTATGAACCATTTCACACCCTTCATACAAATATGCTTTACCTGATCACTTCGACCACGATGTTTAGCACGTTGAAATTGAGGGGATCTTCCTTCATCTTGTCCCTCTCCGTGATGCAAACCATGATGATGAAGATGGCCAGGTAGGAAAGCTGTGAGAACTTGAGGTTCTCCAGCAGCAGCTTATAACCCTGTTTCGGCTTTCTTCTTTCGCCGTTCCCCAGGAGCCCCTCGCGGCCTTTTGCCGGAAGAAACGACGTGTACGGCGGAAGGTACCTGGAAGATTTGGACACGAAAGTATAATTTATTGGACAGAGATCAAGTAAGCATCGTTACATAGGCGAATCTAGCGTGTTAGAGAACTAAACTTTGATTTCCTTCATCCCAAAAAAGAAGGAAAGGTTTCTACTTCGCCGGTTATTTAGTCCTAATCGAATTATGTTAAGGATTTGTAACTCACCACCCATATTCAAACAGGAATGGAGGAAAACACAGTCCTAATCAAAACATGTCAATGATTTTGTTAGGTAACCAATTAAGGAGACCGTCATTTTCCATGAAATAATCATTCCAGTGCCGACAAGTGTCCTGGAAACAGTTGTAAGATGACCCATATGGGGACATCTCAGTTTTAGGAGAATTCATGATTGAAAAATTTTTCCAAGTTGCCTAGGAAGGACCTCCACCAGGAAAACAGAGCATGGTCCCTAGAGAAAGATATGGAAATGAGCTACCAGACAAATCCATAAGGAACACTAGTTCTGGGCAGAGAACTCGTGACTTGGGTGGGAGCTTCTTGTTGTTTTGAACACTCAACCTTAAAGAGAAATTCTTAACGTGTGATAGAGACCAATCTGCACTTTTCTAGCACGCCGAATTCAGCCCAACCTTCGACATCACACATTTAATCAAATACCAACGGCGACGCTACGTGACGGAAATGACTTTACCTATTACGGCAATGAAAATGAAAACCCCAGGGACCGTTCCAAATACACAGAAGAGACCTCTTGATAATGCTGCGATTTGACTTAATGCGATTATTTTAGCAACCTTTTCGAGTAGTTAATGTTGTGGTAATTTACAAACAAGTCAAATGTATTCTAGGGTTCACTTGTTCCGTAAAAAATAAATGATTTGAAAAATAATTTTCTAAAAATGATAGTTTATACTGCTTACAAAAATGAATGAAATAAAAATATTTTCGCCGTCCACGAAAACGTTTTAGACATGAATTATTATTGACAATGAAATTTATATTTTTTAGGAAAATATTGTCCAAGATCATTCATTTTTTACGAAATAAACAAAATCCTCGCAAATAATGAAAGACGTGTTTGAGATCATGATTCGGTCTTTTTCAAATACGTCCAAACCTAGTAATTATTTTTTTTATAAGATAATAGGTCACGGTATCAATAATTACACTGGGTCAAGCAATTGAGAGGATTCTAATCCTTCATAAACTTTGACCCGAAATGCAAAAACACCAACAAGGTTAGTGCACCTAAATGAAACATTTTAGCCTCCCTGATCATCAAAGTCGTAAGTGGTCCTTTATGGCCCACGTTTTCTTTTTGTTAGCCAAAGATAGTTCACACAATTCCAGACGCCCATGTGATATCAGAAGGTCCGGACAGCAGGGGCAGAGAAGTGATCTTCCAGCGAATGTCAATTTGAAAAAAAATGTGAGAAACTATTTTTGCGTACGACTTTTATTTGGTAATACAGTTTATTTTATTTTATCTTGGTATATAAATTCATTAAAATATATATATACACACACTTTAGGATAATGGTAGTATATCTTATGAAAACCCTTCGACATGTTAAACAACATTATATGACATGACTTTGATTTGCCTACTAAAGAAGTACGATTTAGTTATCTCACTGTTCGAGTATGGGATATGGAATAATAAAAGTTGGCGTAAGGTTGATTATTTAGCTTATAATGAATAAGATTTCATGAAATCACTGCTTATTGTTTTAAGAGTTTGAATTGTTAGATGAATGCGTGATTTAATATTCAATCAGGTGTAAACAAATTGAACTGTGTTTCTAATTGCCTTTAGCTTTTTTACCATTTTCTTTCTCCTACGGCATTTAAGACATGGATATTATTTTATGTAGATTATCCTGATTTTTGAAAAAGATACCGACATCATGGGGAAAAGTAGAAATTTTCTTAATGCTTCAAAATTTCTCTTCTTATTGAAAAAATAAGACTTGGTGTAAAGCAACCGTTTTTTCAGTGCATCAAAACATACCAGTTTATTAGTAAGAATATTTTTGAACAAAATTAAGTTACAAAATTAACACATGTTTTTTCCGAAAGTGGCATTCAGTGCTGAGGTGGCATTTTCTATGTTGTGCGCAGATTTCAAAATCCTGCCGCCTCACTTACGTGTCCCCACCTCCGTCTTCCCACGAAAAGGTGTATTATCGAACTCCCCAACCTCATCCTTTTCACTTGGGAAAGGTGACCCCGGGGCATCTCTAGTGGTTGCATTTTCTATTCAAGAATGGATAGGTAGGTGCTACGATTGCAGAATATTAATTAACAAATTGAGAGAGAGAGAGAGAGAGAGAGAGAGAGAGAGAGAGAGACTAACATCATGACCACGAATAACACCAAGATGGCGGGAGCAACTGTGGACAGATCGACGATCGTCTCGCCCGTATGTCTGGTGTTCACGCACTGAAAGAGCACGCCCACGATTTTCTCGTACGTGCACAGTCCATTCAACGATTCTGAATGCCACTGCATCGAGCAAAACATTATGAACTGGACACCAATGAACCCCAACACCATGACCACCAGCAGCGACGAGTAGAGGCTCGGAAGCAAGTGCTTGTAGCCAACTTCGCTTGTCCTGCTCAACAAGTACCTGATTTCATCTTTCTCCCCGAATCTCCCCATGAGCCAAAGCGCGAACCTTAAGCTCGACGGGAACAGCGTGTTCCCGAGAAGGACCTGAGGGATGAGGATCAGGAGGAGGCCGGAGTTTTTGCTGAAGACCATCATGTTTTCGTTGGTCGGGACAAACCCGCAACTGGCGAAGGTCGACACGATGGTGAAGACAGAAAAAGTCATCATTTTGAGACCCTTCTTCTTTAGCACATCTCTCGCGCTAGAAACAAGTGTCATATAGAGCGAAACCGCGGCGACACCAAGAACGTGGATGACCAGAAGGTAAGCTAACACTACATAACACAAAAACCTAACCGAACAACATTTCAGATAGTCAAGATCTAAGGACTCGTCTTGCCGTCTGTACGATTGAGGCTCTACTTGTGAGTTCAGGCAATCTATCTTCGCTACTACACCTAACTCTATGTGGTCAACAATGTCGTTTGTTGGGTTGGAAGGGCAGAGATCGCTATTCATGGAGGCGACTTTGCCTTCGGTATTGACGCGCCACCGGAGCTTAGATTTCCTAAGATGAAGCCCAGCGAGGGAAATGAAGACCTCTCCTCCGACGAACATCAGGACGGTCATCACGACAAGCTGAGAGTTGGAGAAGACCTCCATCTCCACCGTCGACATGCTCGAGACGGTCGTTGCGGAGACAGAGGTGAATAACAGATCCAAGTCCCTAGGCCTAAAGGAATCGGTCCGCGGCTGCAGGGCCTTGAGGACCCAGAAGCCGAGGAATGAGAGGAAGACGAAGTAAAAAACTTGGACGCAAAAGGAGTTGAACCGGAGGAGCAGGAAGCGGAAATAGCAAGAAAGGAGAAAGCAAAAGGACCTGCAGAGGCAGGCCAGTTTGAGCCATGCAGCACTGCAAAGAAACACAAATTCTTTGCCGAAAGATGAAGAGCTCATCCTTGTACTAGCTGTAATCGGACAGGAACGAAATTGTTCTTCTTGGTGTTGCGAGAATTCGAGGTTTGTAGGGGAGGTGTATATAAAGGAGAGAGTCAACCTGGATTCATGCAAATTGGCGAAGTTTCCTATTCAAGAATTGTAGATTATTTATTCAAATCATGCCACTTTCATGCAAACTGCGATGGATAAATGTCACATGCAAAGGCCTAACATTTGGCATCAATTGATTTATATGGACCGCAAGGTATTTCATGAGCCTTTAAATAATGGGTTAATATCACGAAAATCCCCAAATTGGTACGCTTATAACAAATTTATCCCAAACTAATTTTTGAACTACAAAAAACCCCAAACTAGGATAATTGTGACAAATTTACCCAAAATTAATTTTTTTTATCACTAAAAATCCTATATAGATACATTTCTGACAAATTTACTTTTCATTAGTTTTCGTTAAATTGGATTAATACCACGAAAAATCATAAATTTTGGTACACCTGTGATAAACGGAAGGTAAAATCCCAAATTGATATACCCGTTAATTTTCAAGTGTTATCCAACTCAGCAATTTAAGAATAAAATTTAACAAAAATTAATAGAGAGTAAATTTATCATAAGTGTATTTTTAGGATAAATTTATCATAAATATATCAATTTGAAATTTTTCGTCAAATTAACCCTAAGTAATTAGTCATATGGTCTTTTAATGCATTACCTGTCCAAGTTCATTAAAAAGGTCCACGTGGTACCAATGTCTCCTTGGACGCCTCCTGACATTTTCTATTTTGGCAATGATAATTTTCTGTCGTGGCTTCTCCACTACGGGGATGGTCGGCTCGACTTCGAACATCGAACCTCCTGAACCTGGGGGAGGTCGAGGTGCGATCCGTTGGTGCCGCCAATGAGATCTTGACATCTGGACTGTAGTGGGGTCAGAGAGAGAGTAATATATGAGATTGGGCCTTTTAATGCATTACCGCCGCCCCTTAGCCGCCCCTTGTCGGTTTTTCAGTTATATTTTGTAGAAAAAATGGCACAAACGGTTCTTAAACTTTAATTCAATATGTAATTTGATTCCTGAACTTTTAATTTGTTAAATGTAGTCCCTGAACTTTAATTCAATATTCAATGTGATCCTTGAATTTTTAATTTGTTTAACGTGGTCCCTGAACTTTTGATACATGTTCAATATAGTTTCTAAACTTTAGAAAAATGTTCAATGTAATCCTTCCATTAATTCAAGTTTAGGGACTATATTGTACATTTTCATATAGTTCCGAGACTAAATTGAACACATACCAAAAGTTCAGGAACTACATTGAACAAATTAAAAGTTCAAGGACCACATTGAACATTGGGTTAAAGTTCAGGGACTACATTGAACAAATTAAAAGTTCATGGATCAAATTGCACATTAAACCAAAGTTTAAGGACTGTTTGTGTCATTATCCATTTTTTGTATGCTCGCAATCGCTTCCCTCTGCAACGTCCCACGCGAAATCTCTCCTCGACGTATGCTTGTTTTTGTAGTGGAAAAGACGATTCAATTGTGATCATATTTCAAATTCCATTTCGATCGAACGATACATATAAACCTAAGTTTTGATAAAATCTTGAATATACATATGCAGCATTACCCAAAACCATTTTAGGTTATGTTTGTTAGATGGAAAACAAGATTTGCGGAAAAGTATTTTCAAAGAAACTCAATTTGAGGAAAATGATCCTATATTTGGTTGTGTTTTTTGCAAATACTGTGGAAGTAATTTTTATGATGTTTTGTTATAGGAAATTTATAAAGCATACATTTGAGAAAGCATCTCGGGTATAACCCTAGGTCCCAAGTTTGAGTGTTAGCTGCATGGCCTTGGGCGCCGGTAACTGAGCCCTATCGTCAAGGACCCGATCAAGGGATCGAGGCTCGGCCTCAGGTGACTTGAGCTCAGCTATTGAGGATTGGGGCCACATCTGTCGGGGTCTTGGGCCATGCATGAGAGTCAGGGACCTAGATCTAGTTGAGGGTCAGCCCTTGCCTGTAGTCGATGAGGGCTTCACGGCCTTCTTGATGGCTATTTCAGGAAGATGAACAATGGAAAAAAGAGGAAGAAAAAAAGAAAAGAAAAAAAATATAAATTATTATAAAAGATTCATAAAATTCTAAAAAAAAAATGCAAAAATTGTTCACGAAGTCACTTACTGTCATTAAGCTGTGCCATATAAGACAATTAGCATCCACTTTATCAATTTCTGATCAAAATTGACCATAATTACTACATTGAAAAGTTGTTGAAATATGTAAAATTAAGTTGGCCAAATTGAAAAGTTTATGACTAAATTGATCGGCATATAATAGGTTTAAGAATTTTTTGACAATTACCAATCCTACTGGTCAAAAATTTTATAATGTCAAATTCTTTATAAAATGGCAAAAGTAGACCACTAACATTTTCCTAATTTTTTTTAAAAAAAGACAAAAAAACCAACAAAAAAAAAAAAGGAAACATAACTTTCGAGAGAGAGAGAGATCGATTGTTGAGAAGACCACTAATAATCATCCATATTGATCAAATCTTTTATAATGGCAAAAGTAGACCACTAACATTTTCCTAAAATTAAGAAAAAGACAAAAAAAAACAAAAAATCAAAAGAAGAAAAAGAAAAAGAAAAAGAAAAAGAAAAAGAAAAAAAGAAACAGAACTTCCGAGAGAGAGAGAGAGATCGGCTGCCGAGAAGGGGTTATGTCTTGACTAAGGCAGCAGCGGCGCCCCCCTGACACGCTGCTACCCCACCCGATCCCCCCTCCTCCTCCTCCTCACGATGTGTTTCTCTTTTCTATTTTTTGGCATTTATTATGGTTTTTCTTTTTTAATTTTTTTTTGCAATTTTTGGCAATTTGACGATTTATCATCAAATATAATATAAAATATTGCAACTTTAGCATTTTTTTTTTGTCGCTCAAATTGAAACAGAGTTAACGAAAATACTTAATTGCATTAATTGGACAAAATTTAGAAAGTAATTGCACTTTTTTGAAAGTTTCGGGATTATTTTACAATTTCACAACAAGTTTTTATTTTTGTTTTCCGGTGCACTTATCGGTTATCATTTCATGCGTTTCAACAATTTAACCTAAATATGTGTTCTTTGCATTATTGGTACATTGATGATGACTATTACCTTCACTATGTTTTATGTCTAGTAATTATAAATAGTAATGAATATATATACAGAGATAGTTTTACAAAATTGATAGGGTTCAGTTACAGTATTTTTTTTAAAAAAATGGCTCATTGTCGAGAAGTTACTGTAGCAAAGTACTCTTCATCATTATTCGCATTGTAGCAGTACTATAGCAAATGGAAAAACGCCGGTCAGTGTGTAAAGAAGCCTGTCAGTAATTTGTTAGAGCGTTGTCTCTCAATAATGAGTCTGTCAGTTATCTAAGTCAGTAATCGTCCGAGTCAATGATCCTAAAAGTCTATGTATAATGAGTCAGTGGACAAAGGATAAGGCAGCAGCGCAAGGAGTAAGCTCCCACCTTATCACCTCAAGTGCGGGAAGTTACCATAACTGCATAGCTGAAACTGACGTGGAATCTACCTTCTCCACCTAAGGTCCTCCTCAGTTCCCTCTCATTCTTTTTCTTCCTGGAAAAGAGGGAATGTGGAGAGAACTTACGAGGAGATCTCTTCATCATATCGAGAAGTTCCTTCTCCTATTTCCCCATTAAGCCTTTAAGGACCTGCTCAGATCTACAACCCCTTTCTAGTAGGAAAAAAAATTCCCTTCTTACATATTTAACGTAAAAAAGGAACATAAACTCGAAAAATCTATTTTTTTCCTGTAGCTCTTCATTATAAAAAGTCAAAGAGGGAAACTAACCACATGGAACTTCTTTTCGGCCAATATAAATGTCCAAGTGCGGTGTATACCGATCCGCTGACTTGAGAAAGGTGTTCACACACGTGAAGAAATTTTACGGTTACATTAGTCAAATTTTCAGAATCGGTTTGGTTTGCGAAAAACCATAAGATCTCGGAAAATATTTACTAAATTTCTAACTATTTAAAGTGTCTTAAGAAATTGAATGAGTAAAATATATTGGGTAAAATCCACAAAAAAAATCTAAACTATGTCCACTGTGATACATTTATCTCAAACTTTTTTTGTGACACCCAAAATGTTAAATTTGTACCTATGTGACACGTTTACCCCAAACTTGTACAATGTGACACATTTACCCAAATCTTCTTCTTGTAACATAAAAATACCCCAAACTTGTATCCGTGTGACACATTTACACCGAAAATTTGGTGTCACAAAAAAAATTGGGGTAAATATATTACACGGGTATAAGTTTGGGATTTTTGGTGTCACTAAAAAAAGTTTAGGGTAAATATGTCCTACGGGTACGAGTTTGAGATTTTTGGTGTCACAAAAAATAGTTTTGGGTAAATGTGTCACGATGGACAAATTTGGAGTTTTTTTGTGGCTTTTTCCCTAATATATTTTAACAATTACCAATGATCTGTGCTCAAAATCCCAAGACTGATTTTATGTTTCCTAAAAATTGAAATTCATTTTTCATAATTTTAATATGACTGCTTCCACCGCAATCACATAACCGGAACTCACTTGAGTGCCCGGACCCGAGACCTCGGGGCCAAACCAAGGACTTTGGTGGCAGGCTTGAGACCCTAGCAGCTGGCACCCGCTAGACGCGAGACCCTAGCCCAAGACCCGGGACCGTAACGCTCGGTGGCTATGACCCTACCGACGAAACTTGGTGCCTTAATATATACTTCTCGCTACTTAGGTTATCTCGACTCTTGATATACTTGCTTGTACTAAACCATATCTATGGACAAAAAGCGGCCTATGCAATTTAGGACGAAACTATATTTTAGAAGAGCCTGGTTTGGTCCCACCCGATTAGAATCAAATCTCCGGCCCGTGACTACCATGTGGCTTTTGACTCGTGAGAAGACATAACCACCAAGCAAATTAGAATTGGAAAAAAAAAAATTAGGGAACATTCATTTGATGGAGCGACTACATGGGTGCGGCTAGCCTGACCGTCCACTTGCAGAATGACAGCGTG